GGGGGGGGTAGCAGCTTCCTGATATTATTTTTTGATACCGAAAACGACTGCAGCGTTTTCTCTCTCTGAATGGTCGTCTTAAGGTTATTTAAATCCGAATTTTGCGTTGCTAAGGGGGAAGAACGGCCAGGCAGCCTACGTCAGCCACGGTTTGAAAATAAAGCCTGAAAGTACACTTGTTTCAGTTGTATTTTCCCGAAAATCGGCAGCATCTTCACTTCATCCTCAAACTTGTCTTTACTGTTGTCTCCATTTCGATGATGTAACTTCTCTTGTACGCTATCCTTAGCCATTTCGTTTGTGCAGACGCTGAAGTAGGACTTTTAGCTGACTGATTTGCTAGGCTCTAAAGTGCAGTTTTTTTAGCAGGACAGCGTGGCACCCCTTCGTTCACACAAGAACCCCTTTGTTCACATTTTTTTGTAAAATACCTTGCCTTCAGTTAAAGTTGTCTGGAATGTGACTTCGCACCCACGTAGAAAGTCCTGTTCTTAGTGTGTATTCCTCAACAAATCCTCATGATTCTACTACTCTTCATGACTCGAATTGCTGCAACTCGTCGGTCCTTCTACTTCCCCCTTTTGCCACTAATATCTCTTCTTGGATGTAGGAGAACCGTTAAATGAAAGGGTACATTTCGATAGTTAAATTTTTTTATTAGGGGATTTGGCAGACCCAATTGCGAAAAAACTCGCAGCGTTTGGCGGGATTTGAACCCACATAGTAGGGAATGCCTTAACCGGGAGCCAATGCTCTATCAGCTGAGCTACAAATGCCACGCTTCACATCGTGAGCTTTATCACACTTAGATCGATTTTACCCGCCCAACTTCGCCGCTCGTATGGAATCCACCGATACGGAACAGTAAGTTGACTGCCCAAGCAACTTGACTTGCGCTGGAGAAGCAAATACATTCGTTGGGCAAGAACTTTTTTCGCCTGGTGCTTCAGATTCCGTCACGGATCCGTCATCACAGACAGTAGCAGTAACGGATAATCCATACACAGAGCATTGCAGTATTTATGGGGTACAGTCGCCATGCTACTTCATACCTGTGACAATTAATATACTCCCCCCTATCGAGGATAGTTGCCCGCTAGTGTGCTAATTGGGCGATGGCCGGCGTGCAGGTCGTGACCTGATGAACTTACGTCATTCATGCTGAATTTTGGTGTGATAATTGCTCTACCCTCTGGATCATTGACACTGACGTCGGAATACGCGTTCGCCTGTGCGCTCTCCGAGCGAGTGATTATTTTGGCCAAAGTAAGCCTCAGCTCCGAATATGGGTTGGACAGTTGATTACACTTGTTTATAGACTGAGGGCCCGGTATTTTGGCCACCACAATCTTTGCGGCATATGAGGACATGAAGGAAGGGCAGATATTTGTTTGCTTCCTTCTACATCCTAAATTGTATGTCCGGGAAGACGCCATTAAGACGTTACTTGAACGTCAACACCTAATCCCGTTCGATGGAGACAAAGGCATCTTACACAAACTGCGCCCACAATTTTAGTCTGTTGTTAGAAGACCAACAACTCTACCCATTGTAAGATCGTCTCGGTTATGAGTCCCGAAATTGGCGAACCCATTGGTGTTCCATCGACCTGCTTGTAGATTGTTCCATCAAACGTGAAGTTCAACAGCTTAAGGATTTGGCCGTGTCCGAGGCGATTCTACGTCTTAACTATTCCCTACAGGGGCTCGCATTTTCGCCTGTATTGGAAAGTGTTTTTTTTTTAAACCAATCCCAACTCTCCTTGGCAGCATCTCCCAGGTGAACTTACGCACGTTCAATTAGTGATTTTGCGGAAGGAGTTAGTAATCTTCTCGCATCATCACCAAACTCCTCTCGATTTGTTTTCACTGGACCCCGAAGTGGGGCCTCTCTATTTAACTGTCTGGTGCCCTCTTTTTATCGACATCTGATCGTTTGATATTCCTCTTTTCTTACCTATAGCTATTTGCACCACTTATCGCCATGATGGTCACGAATTGGCGGTTGCCCTTCTGAATGCCACGATCCTCTTCTTCGACCCCACTGACGGGCGTCAACTCGGCAGCATTGAGGGTCGCCACGACCTCGACGTGGCTCAAGTTGGCGAGGATGATCTGGTCACGCCTTATCGTGCTGCCAAGGAAAGGTACGTATTGCCCTCAATGATGAATGATACTGCTTAGGTTGATAAACTTTATTTAAAGTTCAGAAGAGTCTCACTGTAGTCAACATCTATTTTTGAAAACCGAGTCAATTTTTCCTGAGTACCCACGCCTATTCTGTCTCATTTAAAGTCATCCTTTCACAGTTACCAGCGTAACGTAGAGGGACAAACGAATTAACCTACGAAAAAAATGCCATTTCGACAGATAGATTACGCAGTGACTGTCGTCGGCCTGGTAGTTTCCCCATTTTTTATGAGCGGTTAAAATAGTAGTGTAGGCATTACCGGCAGAAACATTGGGACTTGCGTGATACGTATTTCGACCTCATTAGGTCTCACCAGATACAGATACCCAACTCCAGTGTAGTACCCAACTCCAGTGTAGTAGTGTTCTCCAATTTCCCTTTCAACATCGGGAACAGTCGGTTCTGTGGGTCGAGTGTCGTGGACAGCCGTGGTGCCTGCAGAATTATTGAATTCACATCGAGTCGCATATGCTTCGATTGTTTTTTTATTCTGGCTAATCGGGCAATCGTTTTGCCGTCTTTCTCAAACTACATTGCACAAAACCTCGAAATCGTAAGCATACGGCTTTATTTGTGTCGCTTCTATGGGTAAAACACGTTTTGTGTCCTTTGGTTGATTACACCAGGAGCCGCCAATGTCCTTTGTTGTCACGCATCTGCGAAATTCCAGGACAGTGGCACGAATAGCGTCTCGTAGTCTCATCATTGTTCTCCAGAATTTGCATTTCGCCCAGGTAGATGTTTACTTTGTTGTTTAGATCAGGCCCCTATTCAGACATCCACCAATGGCAATTTATAGCTGACTTCCCGTCAGAAATCAGTGGTAGTCCAGTTCCGGACTGCAGCTCTGATATGCCGAGACGGAGTCAGTTAATCGTTAGGCAACTACCGTACTATGCCACTGTAGTACGAGGGTGTGAGGCTCTGTTGAGGACAGCGACCACAGGCCTGTAGTTTCAGCCTCACCCTTGGGACGACAACAAGGTGGCCTGTCCATCATTCGTCAATGCGCATCGCCTTTGTCGTCACCTGGATTCCTCCTCCTGGGGAAGATGGAGTTCAGCAATGGCGAGCAAGTGCTCGCGCACGTTGACTTTTCCCGGTTAAGAGAGCAGAGGTTGGCCTTGACACGGGGAAAATGTTTTCTGTATGCCTCCGGCAGAAGTATTTCTTTTTTTGTCTCAACGTCTTACTATCCCGTTGTCACCTAGCAGCTTGCAAACACATTTAGGGGGCCTGCGGATCTCTGCAAGCTCGTCCTTCACGTCTCCACGGTCCCCTGATGGGCGAGGGCGTGGGCGCTGAAAATTGTGACGAGTTTTTCTTCTCAGGGTGACGATCTGCTGGTCATGAGATGGTCGTTGAACTCATGCGGTAGTCAATATGCCTTTTATGACACCGAGAACGACACCGGTGTCTCGCTGTTCATTCTTTTGATCTCTACTCTAAATCTACGTCATCTAATCCTCTCTGGAAGAATTCTACTGCATTAAAAAGCAAGATATCCACGCTGTAGTGAGCTAGTTCGTGGGCCACCAGACTTTTCTCCGTCTCTGGTCAGTTGTCGGCTGTCGCGGGGGATTTTTTCCACTTTGCGGGCCGGGGAAGGGTTTTCATCTCGCGTAGATTGTCGACCACATATTCATAGCCCTCAAGTCAAGATTTTATCGGGGGCGGCGTGATTGGCAACAGTTGCTAGGGCCCGTCTCCAACTCTTTGCTAGTGAACTGAGTGCTTCCATAAGTACAGTAGTCGCCAAAGATCATGCAATAACGTCAAGTCTGCATGAAAACTGTTGTAGCTCGCAATTCATTTACCTAAGGGAGCCGAAAGTTATACTGCGTGAGAGGAAAAATAAATCCTGAAAAGGAGGCATATTTCTATATATGAAGTATCATTTATTATCTAAGAACTAATATGTTTTACCAAAACTGTAAAATCCAAAAAAGGACAGTAAGTCAGGTCGAGGATAAAAAGTCGTTATATAAGTGACAAAAGTGTAAGAAAATAG